TATTGCAGGTGGGCGGCCCCTCTTTGAGGCTGGTTGGGTCAGTGGGGGCAGAGGTCTGGGGGGTAAATGGGGTCTGTTGGGGGACACTGGGGCAGCCTGGGCCAGGTGTCCGTTTGGGGTGCAGTGTTCAGGGCATGGGGGTGTATGAGGAGGTATCTAGAGCCACCCACCCTTCTCAGGGCAGAGGTCTGGGGGGGGCAGGGGGTCTGTTGGGGGACACTGGGGCAGCCTGGGCCAGGTGTCCGTTTGGGGTGCAGTGTTCAGGGCATGGGGGTGTATGAGGAGGTATCTAGAGCCACCCACCCTTCTCACCGCTTCTGTCTGCTCTGTTCTCTCCCCAGCCCTTCGCCATGGGTAACGTCTTGGCTGCCAGCTCCCCCACGCCCTCCCCTGGCATGCCCAGTCCTGGCTCTGGCCTGGTGTCCATGCCACCTGGCTTCACCATGCCTCCCGTCAGCGGGCTGGGGCCCCCTGTGCAGGAGCAGCCCAAGGAGAAGGGAGATGAGCTGCCCAACCCTGGCACTTTTGAAGAATGTCACCGCAAGTGTAAAGGTGAAAGCTGGGCACCTACTGACCATGCGCGCCCCCCTCGCTTCCGCCTCTGGTGGTTGTGCGGACCAGGACTGTCACAGAGCTAGATACCTGCATGGAGGACAGGCCCATGGGTGGGGATTAGCCACGGACCAGGACTGTCACAGAGCTAGATACCTGCATGGAGGACAGGCCCATGGGTGGGGATTAGCCACGGACCAGGACTGTCACAGAGCTAGATACCTGCATGGAGGACAGGCCCATGGGTGGGGATTAGCCACGGACCAGGACTGTCACAGAGCTAGATACCTGCATGGAGGACAGGCCCATGGGTGGGGATTAGCCACGGACCAGGACTGTCACAGAGCTAGATACCTGCATGGAGGACAGGCCCATGGGTGGGGATTAGCCACGGACCAGGACTGTCACAGAGCTAGATACCTGCATGGAGGACAGGCCCATGGGTGGTGTCCCCGATCTCTAGCAGAAGCTGAGAATGGGCAGCAGGGTCACTTGGCGATTCCCTGTTCTGCTCATCTCTGCAGCACCTGGCCCTGGCCACTGTTGGAAGATGGACCTTTGGTCTGACCCAGTGTGGCCGTTCAAGGAATCTCTTCCCAAGTGCGGTGCTGGGGAGCAGAGACTGGGGACCCCGACACGTGCACAGGTGTGGGGCGAGTAGGCCATGGAGAGCCCAGGGCTTTGATTCAGGGGAGGGAGATCCCAGCAGGCTGGTGGGGCCCAGGGGGTGGAACCGCGCTGACCTGGCTGGGCTCAGTGCTGACTGTTGCTGCCTCTTCCTCAGAACTGTTCCCCATCCAGATGGAGGGCGTGAAACTGACAGTGAATAAAGGTCTTAGCAACCATTTCCAGGTAAGGCCTGTGTCTCTGGCTTGGCAGGGTTTGCTTGGGATTGAGGGCAGGCGGCTTCAGCAGTAACTGGCCTTTCCCAGCCAAGTGGGCAACCTCCGGATCCCGCTTGGGGCTTAGGGCTTTCTGTCTGAGGTACTTAGCTAGTGTCCATCACCGCTGTGTCTGGCCTCTCGCTGTCTAGTGCGTTCACCTTACGTTTCCTGCGGCGTAGGCGAGGGGGCTGCATGTGGAAGCTGGAGCCAAGGCCCAGAGGAGTGCAGGCATTTTAGAGACCTGAACCTGGGCCTGCGAAGCTCGAACTTCTGGGCTGCCCTTGCCCTCTGGCTGGGGGCTTGGACCCCCTGCCATAGGCCCCAGAACTGCTGGCTCCTGCTGACTGTGCTCTCTCCAGGTGAATCACAGCATCGCCCTCAGCACTGTGGGAGACTCCAGCTACCACTTTGGGGTTACCTACGTGGGCACCAAGCAGCTCAGCCCCACTGAGGTGAGTGCAGGGGCTGGACTCAGTTGGCTAGAAGACAGCATGGCAGAGCCAGCTCTGGGCAGAGATGGGGCAGGCTGTGCGGGTGGCAGAGGGTGGCAGGGCAGGGGTCAGTTCAGAGCATTGGGGCACTTTGGGGCAAGGCAGGCTGCTCTGGGCGGGGAGGTCGCTTTAGACAGCTGGGGCAGTTTGGGAGCAAAGTAGGCTGCTCTGGGCGGGGAGGCTGTTGTCCTACTGTGGGGGTTGTTACTCACCTGCATTTCATGCCCGTCCAGGCTTTCCCAGTGCTGGTGGGTGACATGGACAACGGTGGCAGTCTCAACGCGCAAATCATCCACCAGCTGTCCACCCGGCTGCGGTCCAAAGTGGCTTTCCAGGTGTGTCACGCCCCGGGGTCTGTCTTAGGCCCTTCCTGGGGTACGTGCATGTGGGTGTGTATGCACGTGCCTGTGTCACATCTGCATAGGTTCCCCGGGGTCTGTCTGAGGCCCTTCCTGGGGTACGTGCAGGTGGGTGTGTATGCACGTGCCTGTGTCACATCTGCATAGGTTCCCCGGGGTCTGTCTGAGGCCCTTCCTGGGGTACGTGCAGGTGGGTGTGTATGCACGTGCCTGTGTCACATCTGCATAGGTTCCCCGGGGTCTGTCTGAGGCCCTTCCTGGGGTACGTGCAGGTGGGTGTGTATGCACGTGCCTGTGTCACATCTGCATAGGTTCCCCGGGGTCTGTCTGAGGCCCTTCCTGGGGTACGTGCAGGTGGGTGTGTATGCACGTGCCTGTGTCACATCTGCATAGGTTCCCCGGGGTCTGTCTGAGGCCCTTCCTGGGGTACGTGCAGGTGGGTGTGTATGCACGTGCCTGTGTCACATCTGCATAGGTTCCCCGGGGTCTGTCTGAGGCCCTTCCTGGGGTACGTGCAGGTGGGTGTGTATGCACGTGCCTGTGTCACATCTGCATAGGTTCCCCGGGGTCTGTCTGAGGCCCTTCCTGGGGTACGTGCAGGTGGGTGTGTATGCACGTGCCTGTGTCACATCTGCATAGGTTCCCCGGGGTCTGTCTGAGGCCCTTCCTGGGGTACGTGCAGGTGGGTGTGTATGCACGTGCCTGTGTCACATCTGCATAGGTTCCCCGGGGTCTGTCTGAGGCCCTTCCTGGGGTACGTGCAGGTGGGTGTGTATGCACGTGCCTGTGTCACATCTGCATAGGTTCCCCGGGGTCTGTCTGAGGCCCTTCCTGGGGTACGTGCAGGTGGGTGTGTATGCACGTGCCTGTGTCACATCTGCATAGGTTCCCCGGGGTCTGTCTGAGGCCCTTCCTGGGGTACGTGCAGGTGGGTGTGTATGCACGTGCCTGTGTCACATCTGCATAGGTTCCCCGGGGTCTGTCTGAGGCCCTTCCTGGGGTACGTGCAGGTGGGTGTGTATGCACGTGCCTGTGTCACATCTGCATAGGTTCCCCGGGGTCTGTCTGAGGCCCTTCCTGGGGTACGTGCAGGTGGGTGTGTATGCACGTGCCTGTGTCACATCTGCATAGGTTCCCCGGGGTCTGTCTGAGGCCCTTCCTGGGGTACGTGCAGGTGGGTGTGTATGCACGTGCCTGTGTCACATCTGCATAGGTTCCCCGGGGTCTGTCTGAGGCCCTTCCTGGGGTACGTGCAGGTGGGTGTGTATGCACGTGCCTGTGTCACATCTGCATAGGTTCCCCGGGGTCTGTCTGAGGCCCTTCCTGGGGTACGTGCAGGTGGGTGTGTATGCACGTGCCTGTGTCACATCTGCATAGGTTCCCCGGGGTCTGTCTGAGGCCCTTCCTGGGGTACGTGCAGGTGGGTGTGTATGCACGTGCCTGTGTCACATCTGCATAGGTTCCCCGGGGTCTGTCTGAGGCCCTTCCTGGGGTACGTGCAGGTGGGTGTGTATGCACGTGCCTGTGTCACATCTGCATAGGTTCCCCGGGGTCTGTCTGAGGCCCTTCCTGGGGTACGTGCAGGTGGGTGTGTATGCACGTGCCTGTGTCACATCTGCATAGGTTCCCCGGGGTCTGTCTCAGCCACCGCTTCACGTGCTCGTGGGCGTCAGGGCATCAGTGTAGAACATTGCAGGTCTGTGCCAAACCGCACTTCTTGGGGGGGTCAGAGCAGAGTCACGGGGCCGTGGCCCCGATTTCACCCGGCCCCCTCTCATTCCAGACACAGCAGTCCAAGTTTGTGAACTGGCAGGTGGATGGCGAGTATCGGGGGCAGGATTTCACGGCAGCTGTGACGCTAGGAAATCCCGACATCCTGGTGGGCTCAGGTGAGAGCTCTGTTCCCATCTCTGGCACCCTGACCCCCAAATCCACTCTGTCTGTGAAGTCTCCCACCAGCATGGCTCCTGCCTCCCCTTCTCCATACCCAGCCCGATGCCCCCTCCCTTCCCCGCCCCTTCCCAACCTGCCCTTGCCCCTCATAGCCCCAGCTGATCAGTCTCTTTGCAGGGATCCTGGTAGCCCATTACCTGCAGAGCATCACACCCTGCCTGGCGCTGGGCGGAGAGCTGGTCTATCACCGCCGGCCAGGGGACGAGGGCACCGTCATGTCTCTGGCTGGGAAGTACACATGTACTCAGGGAACTGGGGCCGGGCTCCTGGGGTCTCACCTGGTCCCGGGAGGGCAGTGGGGGCTGGTGTTCAGAACGGGGGCAGGGAGCCAGGACTCCTGGGGTCTCACCTGGTCCCGGGAGGGCAGTGGGGGCTGGTGTTCAGAACGGGGGCAGGGAGCCAGGACTCCTGGGGTCTCACCTGGTCCCGGGAGGGCAGTGGGGGCTGGTGTTCAGAACGGGGGCAGGGAGCCAGGACTCCTGGGGTCTCACCTGGTCCCGGGAGGGCAGTGGGGGCTGGTGTTCAGAACGGGGGCAGGGAGCCAGGACTCCTGGGGTCTCACCTGGTCCCGGGAGGGCAGTGGGGGCTGGTGTTCAGAACGGGGGCAGGGAGCCAGGACTCCTGGGGTCTCACCTGGTCCCGGGAGGGCAGTGGGGGCTGGTGTTCAGAACGGGGGCAGGGAGCCAGGACTCCTGGGGTCTCACCTGGTCCCGGGAGGGCAGTGGGGGCTGGTGTTCAGAACGGGGGCAGGGAGCCAGGACTCCTGGGGTCTCACCTGGTCCCGGGAGGGCAGTGGGGGCTGGTGTTCAGAACGGGGGCAGGGAGCCAGGACTCCTGGGGTCTCACCTGGTCCCGGGAGGGCAGTGGGGGCTGGTGTTCAGAACGGGGGCAGGGAGCCAGGACTCCTGGGGTCTCACCTGGTCCCGGGAGGGCAGTGGGGGCTGGTGTTCAGAACGGGGGCAGGGAGCCAGGACTCCTGGGGTCTCACCTGGTCCCGGGAGGGCAGTGGGGGCTGGTGTTCAGAACGGGGGCAGGGAGCCAGGACTCCTGGGGTCTCACCTGGTCCCGGGAGGGCAGTGGGGGCTGGTGTTCAGAACGGGGGCAGGGAGCCAGGACTCCTGGGGTCTCACCTGGTCCCGGGAGGGCAGTGGGGGCTGGTGTTCAGAACGGGGGCAGGGAGCCAGGACTCCTGGGGTCTCACCTGGTCCCGGGAGGGCAGTGGGGGCTGGTGTTCAGAACGGGGGCAGGGAGCCAGGACTCCTGGGGTCTCACCTGGTCCCGGGAGGGCAGTGGGGGCTGGTGTTCAGAACGGGGGCAGGGAGCCAGGACTCCTGGGGTCTCACCTGGTCCCGGGAGGGCAGTGGGGGCTGGTGTTCAGAACGGGGGCAGGGAGCCAGGACTCCTGGGGTCTCACCTGGTCCCGGGAGGGCAGTGGGGGCTGGTGTTCAGAACGGGGGCAGGGAGCCAGGACTCCTGGGGTCTCACCTGGTCCCGGGAGGGCAGTGGGGGCTGGTGTTCAGAACGGGGGCAGGGAGCCAGGACTCCTGGGGTCTCACCTGGTCCCGGGAGGGCAGTGGGGGCTGGTGTTCAGAACGGGGGCAGGGAGCCAGGACTCCTGGGGTCTCACCTGGTCCCGGGAGGGCAGTGGGGGCTGGTGTTCAGAACGGGGGCAGGGAGCCAGGACTCCTGGGGTCTCACCTGGTCCCGGGAGGGCAGTGGGGGCTGGTGTTCAGAACGGGGGCAGGGAGCCAGGACTCCTGGGGTCTCACCTGGTCCCGGGAGGGCAGTGGGGGCTGGTGTTCAGAACGGGGGCAGGGAGCCAGGACTCCTGGGGTCTCACCTGGTCCCGGGAGGGCAGTGGGGGCTGGTGTTCAGAACGGGGGCAGGGAGCCAGGACTCCTGGGGTCTCACCTGGTCCCGGGAGGGCAGTGGGGGCTGGTGTTCAGAACGGGGGCAGGGAGCCAGGACTCCTGGGGTCTCACCTGGTCCCGGGAGGGCAGTGGGGGCTGGTGTTCAGAACGGGGGCAGGGAGCCAGGACTCCTGGGGTCTCACCTGGTCCCGGGAGGGCAGTGGGGGCTGGTGTTCAGAACGGGGGCAGGGAGCCAGGACTCCTGGGGTCTCACCTGGTCCCGGGAGGGCAGTGGGGGCTGGTGTTCAGAACGGGGGCAGGGAGCCAGGACTCCTGGGGTCTCACCTGGTCCCGGGAGGGCAGTGGGGGCTGGTGTTCAGAACGGGGGCAGGGAGCCAGGACTCCTGGGGTCTCACCTGGTCCCGGGAGGGCAGTGGGGGCTGGTGTTCAGAACGGGGGCAGGGAGCCAGGACTCCTGGGGTCTCACCTGGTCCCGGGAGGGCAGTGGGGGCTGGTGTTCAGAACGGGGGCAGGGAGCCAGGACTCAGGGCTGGGTTGGGGGCCCACTGTGACACTCCCCCATTCTTCCCCCAGCACCTAGCTGGATTGGGACCCTGACGGTCGGGCAAGCTGGGGCCCATGCTACCTACTACCACAAAGCCAATGAGCAGGTATGTGGCTCCCAGGCTGGGAGCAGGGAGATGTGGGGGGGGGCTTTGCTGGGCAGCACCGCTGGCGTGTGCTGCACCTCCAGCAGCAGCCAGGCGGGACTCAGGCGGCAGGAAGAACAGAAGGTCTGTTGGGTCCCAGGGACACAGCGCAGCTCAGACTTCTTGTTACAGGACCCAGCAGCCTTCAGTGCAGCCCATCGGGGAAAGGGGGCCATACCCCCAGGCCAGCTAGGCTCCCTTCTCCACTCACAGCCCCACCTCCTGCTTTGTCCTGCTGTCACCTGGTTCTCAGGACATGAGAGATTGAGCCTACTTCCAGTGAGTCCTGCCCAGCCTCCCCCTCCGCATGCTGATAGTGCTGCAGTGCCTGGGGAAACTGAGGCACACTCCTAGAGTCACTGTAGAGCGGCTCAGTAGGAATCGCGCGCACAAAGCAGGGAATGCAGAGGAGGGAACAGAGGCCTACCAGAGTGAAGGCTGTTCCTGCCACATTGCATCTGCCCCAGGAA